GTCTTATTTTAATTTTAAATGTATTTTACAAAATAATTACACTTTTAACTAATGCTAAAAATCTACCAACGAAAGAAAATACTTTTATTATGGATTTTCAAAGATTACAATTTATCTCCAGGTTTTCCCTCTACTTTTCAATTCCTTGTTAAACAAAGCTTTACTTTACTTTTTTTTGTTTTTGACACATAGCTGGTGGACCTTTTTAACCCCGGACCTTCACATATTACTATCTATTCTTTGATAAATTCTGTGACAATATAACTGGGAAAATGTTATTTGGCAAAATGTCCCTTTGATCGATACCAAATTTAGGTTTTGAATTTAAATAACATAAATAAAAAATAATATAACCTAGAAAATGTTTTATAAATACCAATGAGTATACAATTTTACAAATGAGTCTTTGTCACCGTCTTTGAGATAAATATGATTTGCAAAAAAAGAGTGCTACAATGCCAAAAAGTGCATTTTCATATTAACTTTTCAAAAAAGTTGATATTATGAGTCTCTAGTAACACTTGCTGCCCGTTTACTAACGTTTTTGTATATAAATAAAACTACACACAAAACTACTTACTACAAATTTATCATAATTAAATAATATTCGCGTAAAACATCCTACTAAACGTAATTGAACATCATCTGTCAAAAGCGTTTGACATTTCATGAAATTGCCACCGTCAATTGTTTTATTTAAATTACGCTTCAACAAAAATTTTCAAATTAAAAATGTAAAGTTTCTACGCGGATTTGAAATAATTTCTCACCTTTTGGACTTTCTCTGGATTGGCACCAATTTTTCAAGACTAAGACTGGCCAAATCGATTCAGCCGTTCTCGAGTTTTATTCGGACATTTGAAAGAGAGCTCCATTTTTATATATAAGATATATATATATATATATATATATATATATATATATCATTAATAACACACTGTATCATTTCATGGTGTCCAGCGTTGGTTTTTCCTTGTGGTGAAGTGCAGTGTTGATGAAGTGTGCTGTGAGTGTCGAGTCTGAGTAACAGAAATTTCGCACCAGGCGCTGCAGCAACAGCTGGGAACCAGCAGGATCAGGACTAGCACGAGGTACCAAAGGCATTAAAGGTGGCGGCATACCAAATAGCACCGTGAGAAAGGCTAGTATTAGGATTTTGGTTGTCAACTAGAATAGGATAACATTTCTTTAACAATGGGCAGTTCGATAATTGTTCACACCATTATTTTGTTGACTTCACATATCCGTCAAGGTTAAGTTCGAACAAATATTATTAACTAAACACTTTTAACAAAAAAACAATCACGAGCATTGTCAGGTTCGAATTTCATACAGAAATATACGTAGAAATATGATTTAAAGTAAAATATTTGTAAATATTAGTAACAAAGTCATCAAGTAATCATACAAAAGACTGAAAAAGAGAAAATCGATTCTGTAGTATGAGCTTAAATGTGGACGAAAAGTTTAACATTTTTGTCAAAAAAACGGCTTGGCAGATCGTTGCATAAAACTGATAAACGATAGTTCTCATTGAGATACATCAAATGACTTTTACATTTCTGCAATCCGTTCAGGGCTTGAAACGTCGATGAAAGGGTTAATTTTGACAAATGCCAAGATAACGTACTAATTTTTGCAAACATTGAAGATTTTTTTAAAATTAAACGACTTGTCGTAGGGCCGTGATATTTTAGTATGATCTATAAAACTGTGGTATCTACCGTCAAAAAAAAATCATAAAAATTGTCGAAAAAAAATTTACACTTTATTACAAGAGAAAGGCCCGGCCGATTGTTAACAAAAACTAATCAGCACGATTCCCAAACAATATCTTTCAAACAGTTTTTAAATTTTCAAAAAAAATTCAGAATTGCGGGATGAAACGTGGACGAAATAATTTTCTTTTTTCTGAGATTTACAAAGAATCGATTCGGCCGATCGTAGCGCAAAACTGACAAACGATAGTCCTTATCGAGCAACGTTGAATGGCTTTTAAATTTTTGAAATCGGTCCAGCCGTTTTTTTGAGAAAATGTCGATTCACGGCAAAAAATCTGTTTACATAAACACAAACCCACAAACACACATACACACACACATACTTTTTCCAAATTTGGTCTCATTCTATTGACAATGGCTTAAAACGTCGAGAAAACATAAAATTAGCGAATCGGTTTTTTTATGGAAATATAAGCCACTCCTTCGGGAAGTTAAAAAACTGAGAAAAAGAAATTAACTATATTCTTAGTTTTACGCGATTTGATAAAGCCAGCAGAACCAACGTAGAAACAATTTGCTATGAATTTGCAATTTTTATAGAAAATTATCAAAATTGTTACAAACCTGGTGATTATGTTGCTATTGATAAACAGCTTTTTTCCAAAGTGCAATACAAAGTATGATGTATTATAAGTCATAATTATTCGGTCAAATTAAAAACAAAATAACTAATTACGAAGCAATAAAATTATGATAAGGATCGATTTTCATCGATAATTTTTACTATAGGTAATTGTACTCCAACAATATGAACCAATGATAAGCATTTATCGCAAAAAATTTCATATTACAAAGTAGACACAGGGGATCAAATGAGGAGAAATTTGGTATAAATTCTAAGTGTTGCGGATGATCTTTTCAAGTTTTTCAATACGTTCAATTTACTTAGCACAAATGCCTTGAATTTATACAATAAAAGCTAAATATCTCAAATTTATACTGAATTGCTTTTCACTGAAGCAATAAAACTAGAAGAAGATTATCGAGAAACCCGAAAGCAACCAAAAAGAACAGATACGAAACACTTATTGCCTAAGTCTAATAAAGATCTCCATAAAAAGGTTTCAGATTAAATACTGTAAAAAAAATTGCTATTGTACGAGATGGCTTTTAAGTTAAAAATAAATACATCATATAACAATTTTGAATAACGGTCATCAGTAATATGATAACACTCGTGATGCGCACATTTCTTAATGTCAAACATTATAATATTTATATAATAATAAATTATAAATTTATAATAGCATTAAAAATATTTGTAATATTTGAAAACAAGAATGCAAATAAAGTCATACTTCAAATACAACATGATCGGTTTGTCATTGGAATTAGCATCTAGGAATTAAACCTTTATTGGAGAAATAAAGTACTTGCTGATTAATAAATTCTATAATATTCGTTTACAAAGTAGATAGCTGTAATATAACAATCTTGAATAATTTCATTAGCACTAGCAATGAATAAACTGCATAGATGTCCATAATAAAGTATATCTGTATATAAATGATACTGTTAACGCCTCATTCCCAACTCTGGTATAATTATTATATTTTATTATCTTCGTGCAGGATAGCGATAATAAACCCTCATCCCTTATTATATAATTTAAAACGATAAAATAATCCCTTTCATTGTTACGCATCCTGTCCCAAAATCGGTCATCATGTCAGTAATCCATTTTTCTAAGAATTTTTATCACCTGTCCCTAACTATATCATACTGCAGTTAATATATTTCCAAGAAACTCGCACTACGTGTACCCAGTTTTAATTCTACGAATCATGCAATCCGACCAATACCTGATTGGTTGACAAATGTAACAGCTACTGATTGGATCCAAAATTGTAATGGGATGTCATTAATTCTACAAAATGGACCAATCAGAAAAATGTATAAAATTGTAAAATCTATATAATTTAGTGTCAACTAAAAATTCATATAACATCACTCAAAGCTATAACATCTAATTCAAACTTCAACTATCTAACACATCTATAAGTCTTAATATTCTTTCAAATATACAAATTAAACATTTATTTATCATCTTTTATTTTTATTATTTAATCGGTCTGATATAGCCAATAACTAAATATATCTGGTCCTTCGACAAAGTGCAAGTGTTTCAATAGAGTTCGGTAGCATCTTGCCGGATCACGGACTTCTTAAACACTTTTAATTTATCTTAAAAACATACCTTTGGCCATTCAAACCGAATGGTAAAATTTTACTAAACAGATACACGGCTACATAAACTATTGTTGTGCTTGATCTCTCGTTTAGAGTAATAAATATGAATATTATTCTTCATTATTTATAAGAATATGCAACTTTGTAATACTTAATAGCCATCATAAACGCAAAACAAGTAGACTTTCTCAAAGCTTCCAAAAGTGTCTGAGATATAATTCTGAAAAAGATATATCTTCGGCATGTTAGAATAAAGCTGTACTGCTTTAATATTTTTTAATATTTATACAAATGCAGAGAATTATTATGTTAAACAACGCCTAAATAAATATTGTTTTCACAATTTCACTTATCTTGTAATTGTGTTTGAAGAACTTCATGTAATTAAAATAAACATAAATACAATCATTGATTGCTTGTTCTTTAGTTTTTCGCTAGCGATACAGTTGCATTATTTCAACAGATGTAGTATCTGTCTTGCATATAAAAATAATTTCAAATTTAATAACTTCAAAAATATATAGTAACCACAAATAATACAAATTACTTCAATAAACTTACGTTTCTTACACGGAACAAGTTTTTTATTTGCTTTATTATTTGCACTATAATTATTTATGGGGGATGGAATAAAATATTCTTCCGATCCAGACATTTTTTATTAATTTAAGATTTGTACTGAAATTTAACCTTAAAATGTGATGACACCAAACACCGAAAAATGAACAATATGCTTCACGCTTTCGCTGTCCTTGCAGAACGCATACAAAGAATAGACCGTATAGAATCTCATCGACAGCAAATGACGAATCAATGGCACTCGACCTTGCCGTAACTCACTTCCGTCGCATTTATACGGATTTACACCCATGTCGCGCCTAAAGAAGTTTTACTTTAAGTAAACCACCAAAATAAACTTTAAATAGTCCAAATGCAAAAAATATGCTTGAAGAAATGTGCATTAAGTGTAATGTAATCGCGTTACATCTGTTCAGTAATATGCTATCATTTTAGTAATATGCAACTTACCATTTGGAAGGTCACATCCAAAAATATCAATTTTTTGATTGGGTCCATCGCCCGTTGGAATTTCGAGTTTGCATGGCACTAGCTGTTTTGTTTCATTGCTTACTGAGAATATATAGAATTCGAAATATATATTATCTCTACATTATTCTATATATTATATATATATATATATATATATATATATATATTAATTTGGAAATATGAACAAACAACACTCTTTTTGCACTAATTTATTAAATAATAATTTTCACAAACGTTTCGAGACTAGGTTTGTCTCATCATCAGTGTGTTATAATTAAAAAAATTTTAAAATATGGAAATCTAAATTAGCATGTTGTGTTTTTCATTACACGTCGTTCACTGCACGTTGTTCTTTTAATACCAATGTCTTCGGTATTCGTATTCTCTCCTACTTGAAACCACTTGAAATTGTAAAGTCACTCAATCAGATAGGAAAAAAAAGGATTAGGGTCCAGTTGAAAAATAGATGTCGTTAGGAGAAAAAATATTCTATGATGAGATGGTTTGTTTATAAGATTTGTTATACATTGTTGTAATTAAAAGTGTATGTACATCTATATATAAGCTACAAAGTATGAATGAGATTCAGGTATGTATCATGTAATATATTGGTATCTGTCCGTAAATTTACTGTGTTACTTGTATGGGCTATTAACATCGATTCTGCAATACTTCTTTTAAATAAATCTTGTTCATAATATAAAATGAGTGGATTATTGAAATCGAAACTATGGCTGTTAGAGATAGCGTGGTCTACAAGTGTACTTTTTTGTTGAATGTTATTATTCTTACTTTGTTTGCTTTGTAATTCGTGCTGTCTTAATCTTTTTTCTAAATTTTGGCATGTTTGTCCAATATAAGATGACTCACAGTTCAAACAGTTTATTTTGTATACCACATCTTTTCTTTTTTAATAGGTGTATTGTCTTTAATGTTTGTGTATATGTCTTGCAGTTGTAGTAAGGGTGACACGGATATGTTAATATTCTGTTTATTAAAAAGCCTTTTAGATAAAGGTGTAAATCTTTGTCTATATATGGAAAATTCACAAACATTTATTTTCTGATACAGACAAGTGATTTGAGCAATGTGTGGTTATTGATTGTTTGTCTAATAAAATTTAACTCTATTTTTAATTATTGGACTGATTATTTTGTAAGGGAAAATTCATGAGTAATGTTAATGACTAATTTGATATTGTGATTATGAAATTTTGGGTTAGATAAAAGAATTGCATGGTCTACTAAACTGAGAACTGTGGATATCTTTATATTGAGAGGTGTAAAAGAATTAAAATTAATATACCTGCCTGACCAGCTATCTTCCTGAACCAATTGGTAATGCAAATACCGCCTGTCGTTAATGAGCTGAACATCAAGAAAATGTATAGAGTTATCTTTTTCTGATTCTTGTGTAAATTGTAAATGAGAATTATAATTATTAAATTTTTGAAATATGTTCTCTATATCATTTTTGTTAATTAATAGAAGCGTGTCATCGACATATCGAAAATATAGTAGTGGTTTGCAAATTGTAGAATTCAACACACTGTTCTCTAAATCTTGTAGTACTAAGTCTGCTAAAAAGGGACTTAAAGGACTTCCCATAGGACATCCTCTAATCATAGTATAAAATTATTATTGAATTGGAAATATGAGGCCTTCAGTAGTAAATCTATTCCAGAAATGAATGTTTCGAGAGGTAGTGAAGTGTATTCAACATTTGCAACCAATTCTCCTAATGGCGGTGATAACTAATTTATGTGGAATGTTGCTGAAAAGATTAATAACATCAAAACTAACGAAGGGAAAATTATGAGGGATTTTGAAGTCCTTTACGCGATCTACTAAAACTGTATGAATTGTTCAAAAAATATGGCGAATAAAATCGTACATTTTTTAAAATTTTGGAAAAGAATTTAGATAAATTATAATAAGGTGAATCAATGTATGAAACTATAGGTCTGAAAGGGCAGTTAGGTTTATGGATTTTGGAAGCAATAGAATTTAGGTACTAGAGGTGTGGATTTTAATTTTAGGGCAATAGAATTGTTGATGTGACCTTTTTTTTCCAAAAGATTGATTGTATTTAAAGCTTGTCTATGGTGGTAATTGTTCGGATCACTCGGTAACTCTTCATACATTGTTTTATCTTCTAAGATGTTCATTGCTTCATTTTCATAATTATCCC